AGGGATGCTTTATCCAGGTAGGAAATATTAAGGGATTATATTCATGAAGACAATTTTGTATCTGCCTTCCTTTTTCTGGTCCAAGTTAATTGAGAAGCTCCAGTGCAACTTTTGCTGTAGATGTCACATGAACAATGTACCAATTTGTCTTATGTATGGAAAAGAAGACCCCTGGGTGAAACCCTTATGGGGCCTTCAGGTGAAGCAGCAGGTGCCTGAAGCTCCATATTATGAGATCAGTCCAGCTGGCCACTGTCCTCATGATGAAGTTCCTGAGGTAAGCACCCATTCACTAATTAGCACAGAACCCATTGAATAGTCGGTATTGCATGAATAGTTAGCCTAACTAGTAGTCTAACTAGTAGTTTCTTATATATGTTCTAATTTGGATATTTATAGCTGTTTAAAATTTACGAAAAGAAATAAAAGAACTAGACCTTATTTCTTGTTTTGCTCTACAGTTTAGCCATTTCATATTTGATTGTTTAGTTCATCAGGATGGAAGTTAGTTGCATACATTCAACTTTTTCCAGTTCAGTCATTTGACATTGTTTGTTTTGTCGAAAAATCAATGTGAATGAATATCAGGGTTCCAAATGCTCCAGAGGAAAAAAGATTTAAATTGAGTTGACCAATGGAATGATAATTTAATTTCCTTTTTAGTCGTCTCTTCTTCACTCAACGTTGAGGAAGAAAACATCACAACGGTTTTATAAGAACCGTTGTGTATTAAGTCTTGTCTTTTAACAATTTTGTAGTAGTGAACACGGAGTAAACATATTTTTTTCTTCTAACTTTTGAAGAAAGAGAAGCTGCAATCATCATAGAGCTCGAGTGGGCGGCCTAATGTTTGAGTTCTTATTTTCTGTTAAATCAAATATATGAACACGAATGGCTGTGCAGGCATAATTCCAGTTGTGTTTTTGGGTGAGACAGAAGGGTCTGTTCTTTCCTTCTGAAGTTCTAGGAAAAGTGGAACACACAAGAAATGGAATGTACTTAGGTTCCTGTTGTATATAGCAAGTTTTTATTAGGTTTCTGATTTCCTGCGTGCGCTTTGTTATTTGAAGAATAACAATCATTGTCATACAGGTTGTGAATTACTTATTACGCGGGTGGATTAAAAACCTGGAGACTCAGGGCTTAGTAGCATTGCCTTTGCTGGATGCCCCAGAAGGTATGCAGAACAACATTGCCAGGGACTTGGAGTTTGTCAGAGACGGAGCGAAAAAGGTAGTAAACGTACGATTCTTCGCATCCAAGTTCTCGGTTTGGGATTTTATCAGTTCTTATATCATATCTCGCTTTAGGAAATTAGAGCCCAAATCATGAAAATGTACTGAAGATGCCTTTCTTCAAAGATAATGTAGATATTGAACTGTCATATATTCTTTTGTTAATAAGACATCGTCTACGTATATAATGTTGCCATGTGTTACTTCAATGGTTGCAGTCACTTTGTCTCAATGAATAATACCTAAAGCAAAGAGTTAGGCCGTTGTCACTTCCAAACTACTCATTGTAGAAGAGTGTAAAATCCCATACACCAAGTACGTGGTGTATATGTTGGACTTAATGATTGACTGAACATGAATTACTCGGTGTGATCCTATGTTTACAAGTAGGAATGAGAACAATGGGAATGATTTCCTTTCCTGACTTCCGTTTACTTAACACATAAGGAATCATTAAAATACGTAGGTCTCATATAAAAATCCTTATTCAAATACCCCAAGGAATGAGAAATAGATCAACTACCCCTCTTAGTTGATTCCATTCCCATTCTTTAAACTATTTTTCTTCCCATACACATTGATGTTAGTAACTTATTCACTAAGAATAAGGCATTGTGGTAGGCCAATGAAATTTATTACAGTATTATAGTACTAAAAATACGTTTTTTATCATAAATGGTCCTTGACGTTTACGAAATTATCACGAATGGTCCTTGAGGTTTTTTTGTGACACTAATAGTCCTTAACGTTTGGACTTTTTATCACAAATGGTCCCTGCCGTCAAAAATTCTATCAAGTGTATGATGTGGAAGATAAGTGGAGCCCACATGTACAATCACATCGTGACATGTGGATTAAATAAATAAATAAATATTTTTTTTTTATGAAAATCCATTAAAAAACCATTTAGCCTCTCTCTCTCTCTCTCTCTCTCTAAATGGTTTTTTAATGGATTTTCATCAAAAAAAATATTTATTTATTTATTTAATCCACATGTCACGATGTGATTGTACATGTGGGCTCCACTTATCTTCCACATCATACACTTAACAGAATTTTTGACGGCAGGGACCATTTGTGATAAAAAGTCCAAACGTTGAGGACTATTAGTGTCACAAAAAAACCTCAAGGACCATTCGTGATAATTTCGTAAACGTCAAGGACCATTTGTGATAAAAAGCCCTAAAAATATTGTGGTGGTAATATCCATATCCATCCTGCTTTATTATGATAATATTGTAATATAATTTTCGTTAATTAGCTGAGTTAAATTCCATTTTGATCGCTGGTTAAAAGAAATTTCATTTGGTCACTAAGAAAAAAGAAAAAAAAAGGCAAAAGCCATGCAAATGCTATGCTCTTGCAACTTTTTTTTTTTTTTGGGTCTTCAAATTCATATATTGACAAAGTTATGGATTTCAATTTTTGTGGATGTGGGAGTACGATTATGATTTGAACTTTTCTAAAGAGATGGATTTGCCTTTTTTTTGAAACTATTGTTGAGCTATATAACCTTATTTTGTTATGATATGATTTTTTTTTTTTATAATTCTCTTTGTTGTTTTTATGCCAAATGACTGTTTGATTAATATGAATTAGTTAAATCTTAACTGATGCCACACCTACCATAAATTTTTAGCCCACAGGCTGCATGTGCAAGAGCATAGCATTAGCATGGCTTATGACTAAATTTTTTCCTATGTGACCAAATTGAAATTTCATGTAATATCCAATGACTACAAACATATTTAACCCATCCAAACCGATCCTAACATCATATTTATAAACTATAAACTTTGGGTAATTAGTGATAATTTGACTAAATTTCCTCAGTGACCAAATTGAAATTTTATATAAAACCTAATGACCAAAAAAAGTATTTAATCGTCGAGAGCAGTAACCAAATTGGTGGCCTCACCCTTCACCCTGCTTGACACCCGGGTTCGAAACCCCCAAGGGTTTCTTTCCTCCCAATGTAACCCCAAAAAAAAATGTATTTAACCATTTTGTAAAAGGAACAAATGGAATTCCTTTCACTATTAACTGAAAGAGAATTAAAATTTAATTGATTTTATACACATAAATATACATGTACAACCATTTTTAATATTTTGCCTTCTTTTTTAAAAATGGCCGAGTGCAATACTTAATAATTTAATACCAAAAAAAAAAAAATTAATGGCGCAATGTCTTATTAGATTAAACTATACACAAAGCTACAAGATGTTGCATTTTTCAAAATAAAAATATTCTAAAAATTGTTATATACATCAAGTATGGCTCTTTGTGGAACGAATTGGTAGAGGGAAAAATGAAGAATGGCTTCTGATTTTGTTATAAAATATATATTATTACTGTTATAGTATGAAATTGTGTTAGCATTTCCTAGAATTTAGTATTGGTTTGGAAGTGTCAGTTAGCTGTAAGGTTGAAGCAAAAATGTTGTCTCTGATTTCCAAAAACTGCAAGATTGAAACAGCTCAGCAATTCCCGAATTCCAGAATTGTGACTTAACACGTATGAGCCATTTGATCTGAAGGGTAAGACATGTCATTTTTCATGCACTCATAATAGGAACGTTTTTTGGAATCCAATATGATTTTATTTCCTTCATCTTCCTTGATTTTAATCAATTAGAGTCCCTTTAGGAGTGCATCTCATTTAGGCATATTTTTCAATATCTTTTGTTTATTCCTTGTTTCCTTTTATCATTAAATTCCTACTTGTCTTTCAAGTATTTTGATTGAAGATCACGTTGGTATTTCCCTGGGCCTCAAGGGTAATCTTGCTTTGGGGATTTCAAATTTGGGAGAAGAAGGAATAGTATCTGAAATTCCCTCAACCTAACCTTCTTCTCCCAAATCCCTCATTTCCTCCCAAATTTCCCTTTTTCTCCCAAATTTGAAATCCCCAAATCAAATTCCCTTAACCTAACCTTCTTCTCCCAAATTCCCCATTTTCTCTCAAATTCCCTCTTTTCTCAACCTGACTAATCCTTCCTCTCCCTTATTAAGAGATTGAAAAGAAGTGGGGGCCATATCAGCTAACGGAACTTCTCTCAAATATGACGGAATAGCTAACGTAAGACATTTATTGAAAGTATAGGTGGTATATTGAGATATTTTAAAGAACATGTGGTACTCTGAGACTATTTTGAAAGCACAGGGGTATATCCATAAATAAGCCTAAAATAAAATAAAAAGTTGAAAAGCAAAAAAACCCTCCTCCAAATAAAACCTGTAGCAAAAAACAAAAAAACAAAAAACAAAAAACAATTACAACATCATCAGTAGGGGTGGCAATTTCGGGCACAATTTGTTACACGACTTGAAATCCGCACGAGAAATTAGTGAGTCAACCCACACGATTAAAATTCAGGTCAATTTTCAAATCAACCCATCATGACCCGTTTAATAAACAAGTGTGTTTCTAGTCAACCCACAAACCCGCTCAAATACCTATATAATTTGTTTAACAAAATAAATCATGGCGGGTCAAACCGCCAACTCGCTAAAATACCTATATAACCCTTCAACCTGCTAAAATACTTATGTAACCCACAAACCTATTAACCCGTTTATTTGTTTATTCATCATTTTTCTATTTTTTAAATGTCTTTTAGTTGTTATCATTTAGTGGATCAACCCAACACAACCTGAAACACGCACGAGAAATTAATGGGTGAACTCATGCATGGCACGTTTATTAAATAAGTCGAGTTTCTAACACCTATATAATCCTGATAGGACACGAATCCGATAAGACACGAACCATTGCCAGAGATCACTTCAGATTTGCAAATATATATAAACAGAAAAGTTCAAAAACAGGCCGGCTTGGGATGGTTTTTTTGGGTCGAACGAGTTGAGATGTTCACCTGAAATGATGCAACGACTCTCAAGGACATTCCCTTCTGTAAAGCAGCCAAACCCTAAATCCCCAAAAATATCATCTTTCCCACGATCGCTGCCAATCAAATCAGAAGAAGCAACATCGAACTCTCCATCAAAATCAAGAAGATCATGGTCTGTGTATCTCATCCTTTCCACCAATACCCCCATAAAGACCTACGTTGGTGTCACCACTGATTTCTCTCGCCGGTATGTTGATTTGATTTCAAATTTTCATTTTCATGATTCATTTCCTACATTTATGAACAAATTTTTATCTGGGTTTTTCAAATTTATCCTTTCCTTGATCTATTTGAGAAATTTGTGAATAATTCTTAACTGGGTCTTTATGATTATGGGATAATTAGATGTTTACATGGGTTAGAAACTTAAGCAGTTTTCCTTTCTTTTTCTTTTTTTTTTTTTGGCTTTTCGTCTCAGAATTGGGGAGCAGAGATGGAGGTTGTTGTATGGCCTATTGTTTGTAGCTTGCATTTTTTGTTAGGCTGGAGTTGAACAGCAACTTTATTATGTCATTTCACACATTCATTCATAGTACACCAGTTGATTGTGCTTCTTTTCTAATTATTCTTCTTAAATTCTTTTGCAGTTTGAAACAACATAATGGTGAACTAAAAGGGGGTGCAAAAGCATCCTGTGCTGGAAGACCATGGATTTGTGCATGCCTAATACATGGTTTCAAGGACCAAAGTGAAGGTATTTTGTTCGAAATTTTGATAAAAGAGCTTGTGATTCTAATGTGAGTAGTGTCATAACCAGGCACTGGCCCTGAGTTATTCCAGCCCTTCTAGAAGCCTGTGTGGCTACCAATTAAGAAAGTCATTTTTTGCTTGAATTGAGGCCTTTTGAACAATATATTGGCTCAATCTTCATTACTCCAGCTGTAGCTGGTTGGGGATGTTCAAGTTTCCGAAGCATAGATTAAAAATCACACTAGTATTAAACAGCTCCGTGCTTTTGCTTTTTAGTTCTGCACTGTGCTACCTGTCGCCTGGTACATTGTTTATTCTCTTCAATTAGTTCCTTTCGAAGAAAAAAAGATTTATTGCTGCAAACAATGGTACACATATTTTGAAGTGTCGATATAAATTATACATAATTTTATATGGTCAGCACAAGGGTGATCAGTCAATGTTGTTGAATGATTTTCTTTATTTGGATGTGAATAAAGAAGTTCTGGTTAGTTGTTAACTTGAGGTGATAGGTAAAAGGATTGGGAACTTCTTTTCTTGATTTTTTTCTCTTCCAAGCTCTAGAGCGAGAGGGATAACGATGATGTTGTTTCCTGGTCTTTTTGTGGTGGGATAAGCTCTATTCTGAAGTTCTTTTATGGGTTTAGGGTTTTCATGGCAGTTTCTTTCTAGGGAAAGGAAACTAAACCACCTCTGATTTATGAACCAATAAGGTTTCTAATTTCATATAAGTAGCCATTCACACGAAAGTTTGACAATTTACAATTTGATTTGATTATTAGAGGGATGGTTTTGGGAATAGTGCCATTCACAGGAAAATTTCTTCAGACTATTTTGATTTGTGGAGTAAAATTTCTTACTCTCAATTCATTATAAGAATGGTCTTCATAAAGATAATATGGATGAGCGTTGTGTGCCCCTGTATTCTAGTAGGATTTTCTTGTTGATTCTCTTTGATGACTGACGCCATATATTTTCCACGCATTTGTTATAAAAGATTAAATTAGAAAATTAAATATCATATTCTCTGGTTTACTGAACTGTATGCAATGGAAATGGTTACGGACATTTTAACTCTCTTCTCCACAGTTTGATCTGGTCAGATTAATAATTGTATTCGCTTCCTGCTCCTTTTATCCTTAGATATTGGCTTGTGATGGACTTTGTTTGGTCGAAACTTGACTGGCTGAAAGCTAAGCTCCACATCTTCAACTCTAACAGCCAAGTAATTTTTCTTTTGTAAATTTTTTTGTTTTGTTTGTAGCTTGTGAGTTTGAATCCAAATGGAAAAGTTTATCAAGAAGCTTGCCTAGGAAAAGAAAGAATGACAAGAAGGTGGAGCAAGTAAAGGATTTGTCACTTCCATTGCTGCAGCACAGGCAAGCAGCTCTAAACAGAGTTAAAGGTTTGCTGGATTGCACTCATTTAGAAATTGATTGGAAACTGGGCCCTTTGTGATTTGATAATTAAATCGCATTGTAATTAATATGTTTATAACTAGAAATGTTGTAGAACTCAGAAAGATCAATCATACTTTTCAGGAACGAACTATTGCTAGTCAGAGTCCGATGGGCAAACTCATTTCTAGGTGAGGGCAATTCAAATGTATTATCTTTAGTTGTTTGGACCAAAATTAGCATGGCCCAATTTCTTGGCTATTTGGGGCCCAACAAACCTGAGCCATCTTAATGGTCAAGCATTGACCAAACCAATCGACCGTGTCCTAAGGTCCAGTGCCCATCGGACAGAGTCAATTCCAAGTAACAAATGTTGACCAACGCTTGGTCAACCAAGAAAACTAAAAGCTCATCAGACAGAACGCGTCCGATACAAATGGTAAGAAATCAGTTAATGAAATTATGACCAAATTAAATGGTTTGAATTTAGACAGTGGGAACGTGTCCGATAATGATTAAATTGCACAAGATACCAAGTTTATTCTTACTCCGCAAAATTATAAATTACAAACTAGTGTTAATTAAATTTTGACAAAAAGTCACTTTTTGTCTCTGTAGTTTGCCACTTTAATAACTTTAGTTCCTGTAGTTTCAATTTGATCAATTTTGTCCATGTACTTTCAATTTTGAGCAATTTAATGACAAAAGTGAGTTTATGTCAAATGTATGTAACTTCTGTTAGTTTTTTGTCATGTGCCCCTCACGTGGAGGGGCAATTTTGTCCAATCATGCATAGCTTAAGGTCTGCCTAGCTACTCTCCCTCCATTCCAAATTAGACTTTGGGGATTTTCTAGGTTGGGTTCGTCAAAAATTTTGATTTCTAGGTTTAGAATTGGTTCAATTCATCTTGCTCCAAAACCCCGCCCACTCTTCACAATGTTTAAAGTTATGATAAAAAATGATAGCAAGACATAAAACAACAAGAACCAAATCAGTTGTAAGTCGACCTATTGCTCTGCAATCTCACTCTCCTCCACCAATTTCTTCTTTAGAGCAACTCCACCCATTTGCCCTTTGCCATGGCAAGAGGGGAGCTAGGGCAGCCACTATTCACGTGAATAGTTGCTGCCCTTGCAAAAGGTTGTGGTGTTTCCACCAATTGCCATGACAACAACTATTCACATGAGATATAAGGAGAGAAATTTGTATAGAGTTTTGTTGTGGGAAGTAAAACTACAACTAAGTATTTATTTATTTTTAAATCTGAATTTTTTTCAATTTTTTTTGTTGCTAACGTCATCGATGACGTCAGCAAACTGGGGTTGGAACTAAGGCAGATCTTGCCTGAGGGCTAGCCTGGGTTCGTGGGCCCCATCTCCTGCCAGGGCTAGCTCTTGCCGCTGGAAACAACATTTTGGCCCAAACCCCCCCAGTCCTCCCCTTAGAGCAAGTCCACCCATGAAGGCAAAGGCAAGGCAAAGGCAAGGCAAGGGCTGCCACTATTCATGTGAATAGTGGCAGCCTTGCCTTTTTTGGTTCCACCCCAAAAGGCTAGGGCAAGGGCAAGAAAAAAAAAAAAGATTATGCAACAAAATATAAACAATTTAGAAAGTGAATAAAATTGTTATGTATTTATAGGGAAAACATCCATAATATTTTGGTTTTTTTATATAAAAAAAAAAAAATTGAATTTTTTTGGATTTTTTTGATTTTTTTTTAATTTTTTTGCTTGCTGACATCAGCGTGACATCAGCGCTGACGTGAGCGCCTTCGGGCTTGAGCCCAGGCAAGATTTGCCCGTGGGCTTGCCCAGGCTGGTGGGTCCCATGCCTTGCCCAGGCTTGTTCTCTACCGCTGGAGTTGAATTGGGCTTGCCCGAGCAGCCTTTTGCCCGGTTTTGGTGTATGGCTGGAGGGGCTCTTAGGCGCATCGCTGGAGTTGCTCTTATGTAGTTGATCCAACCTCCCCCCTCCTTTCACGGATTTCACTTCCCCAACACTCTGAGCACCTGTCAACCTCACCAACACCACAAACCCTCCTTCAAAATTCATATCCATTTTCTTCCTCAGTTTTTGTTTTGGTTTCATTCAACAACCAACCAAGCCCCAAGGCACGAATAAACACCAGCCAACACCAAAGGAATCCTCAATGGCACACAAACACAAAAACCAAAAACAGAAAACATCCACAAAGCCAAAGGGGACCAAATCACACCCTCAACCTTCTTCCTCAGTTTAATCAACCCATTTGACAACAAAGTCCAACAAGCCCAGCAGCGAACCAAACAGTTGTGAAGACTGATTCGAACATGTGGCTAGCCAGGCAATTGGTGAAGATCGAAGGAAGAGTGGCAGCTGAAGCAGATAAAGTAGGTGCTAACAAATACATCAAAGTGAATTTGTGTATAGAGCCGACGACGAGAGTGGAGAAGACGAAGTCGAACTCGTTGATGGAATTTCTCACCCTCTCCTTGCCCTCAATAAAAAAATTTGAAGAGCTGTAACCTAGAAAATCCCCAAAATCGAGTCTAATTTGGAATGGAGGGAGGGTAGCTTGGCTGACCTTAAGCTGCGCACGATTGGACAAAATTGCCCCTCCATGTGAGGGGCACGTGACCAAAACTAATAGAAGTTACATACATTTGACAGAAACTCACTTTTGTCCTTAAATTGCTCGAAATTAAAAGTACATGGACAAAATTGATCAAAGTGAAATTATTTGAACTAAAAAGGTTAAATTGGCAAACTACAGGGATCAAAAGTGACTTTTTGCCTTAAATTTTGGAACACATTTATTCTTACTCCTCTAAAGCTTTTCAAGGTCCGTTGTATGCTCGAGGGAAGCAAGTGTTAACTAATTAAGTTATTTATGCCTCAGCCAAATGTAATAGGGACATTGCTAAAGCGAATTCTAAGAAGTGTATTGATGGTGCATGCAATAAGTGAACTTAGACAGTGGAGTTATGAAGTGAAAGATGGACGTGCTGTTTACGGGAGTTGCTACATCAGATTTGATATTGTTTGTTTTGGAGAATGAATTTTTTGAGAATTTCAATCCCGAACTCATTCTATAAAGAATGGTGATTTCCCCACTCTAATTTTATCCACTTACACTCTATTTTATAACTAAAAAAAAAGTGTAAGTGGATAAAAAGGGAGTGGGGAAATCTATAAATAGTTTATAAACTATTCCAATTACAGTATTTGGAAATGTTGAGTCTTGTAATAAGAAAATAATATTCGTTATTGTTGTCATGTTTGATTTCAACAAAAGCATAAATTAAAATATGTTTAAGTTTTTCCATAGTACATGTATTTCTTGCAATAATAATATTCATGTTAGCACTTTTGATGTTCAACTAAACATCATGATTTTCATTCGTTCCTAGTGGATTGAGCTCCTTCATGACCACTAACGACTTTTTTTTTTTTTTTGGTGAATGACCACTAACGACTTTTAACATAGTGAAAGACCCCTTTCTTTCAAAAGTAACATTTTCCAACTACACAAAAAGTTTTAAAACATAGAACGGAATAATATATAATATTAAAACAGAAAAAGGGATTCGAAATTAAATGAAACGAAATAAATTGATCATTATTTCTTAGGTGTTAGGTTGGATTCCCTCATTTCTCCAATATCACTTGTATGAAAATAAATCACCGACATTCTTCAAGAACACGACAAAAGCTCGGTACTCTTGAAGCATTCTGACATCAGCCTTACATCGAAGAAACTGGGGAAAAAATAGCCAGAAGCAAGTAGCTACCACAAATCCAACGGTCCAAACCACAGAGATCAGCCTCGGCAACCGACACCTGCCCTTCAACGCCTTCTTCAAAACGATCTCCACCATCAAACAAAACCCGTGCAAAACGAAGAACCACGTGACCTCCCACGTGGGCCTCACACGACCCATGTAGTAGTATATGAGCTCGTGCATAAGCCCGGAGACAAGGAAGCTTGCAAAGACAGCGGGTAGTGAGGCCCACCTGCGGCCAATGACGCACGTGGAGAAATTGAGGGTGGGTTCGTATACGGACTGGCGTAGGATACTGGTGACCACGAGGTTCCATCTTCTGCCCCAGAAGTTTTGCAGAGAGGTGGAGAGGTAAGGCTCGTTGAAATGGGGTTTGAGGTCTAAACCCAGAAGGCCCCAAGCGAGGGCTGCTACAATGATGAGTTGGGTTTCTAGAAGAAGGTATATGTACAAGCAATGAAGGACTAAGATGAGCTTTGGGTGGATTTCCTGACTGTAATTAAGGACAATAATTAGAATGGCCAAAAGAAAGCCCTTAATTACAAAATGTATGGTGTTTTTGGGAGATGGGTTGGTTTCAATTTGGGGATTTTGAGGTGGGTGTTTTCGGTTTTGGCCATTTAGATGGGATTTTGAAGGAGATGGGTTTTCTTGGATCTCAATTGGAAGGCAAGCAATGGCCAAGAAACGTCCAATGGGGATTGATGGGTCTGAAGCTAAAGGGCCTTTGCCAAAGGCAAAAAGTAGAAGCTTGAAGCTTCCAAGCCAGGAAATGAAAAAGCCTGTGCCGCCTCCAAGATGGATGGAGGAGAAGTTGAGAGGAAGGTAGAAGAAGAGGCACACAACTGGGAGAGCACAGACAAGTCTGGTTGTACCTTTTGGGACTATTTTACCAATTGAATAGCAGTAGAATATACATACAAATACTGAAGTCCATACCTTAATGAAGCTTCCAAACTCACCCTCCATTTTCTCCCTCACCTTGTTTCAACTTTGTTGTTAATCTTTGTGTTTAAGCTGGAAATGTTTTGAACAAATAGTAATTGTAAAGGATGATTAGGAGAAATTAGAGACTCATGAACAAGGCCGGGAAGAGAATATTGAGGAGAGCAAAAGGTACAACTGTTCATGAAGAATATTTTCAGATTGTAGATATGAACATGGAGGAAAACTAAATTATATAATTTTTTATATTAAATTAAAGTCAGAACATCTTTTTTTTAAAAAATACACATTGATTCCTTCGTGGTGCTCTTGCTGTGCAATATGCGCATGTTATATAATTATAGGGTATTTTTGTAGAATTGTCATCTGAATTTATACTTCAGTTTTAATTTGTCACCTTAAAAAATAATTTAAGAGAAATGTCACTTTAATTTTTCAAAATTTA